AGAGAGAGAGAGAGAGAGAGAGAGAGAGAGAGAGAGAGAGAGAGCGGCAGGACATTAGCGTCGCTCCTGCCGGACCATTAGCTCGGGCGGAGCGACTTCCGGAAAGTGATAGACCAATTTGAATTAACAACGTCTTTGTTGCCTGGAGGATGCCGCTTTTCACCGGCGAACGACGGCGCGGATGTAGCACGCAGTTGTCGCAAAATTCAAATCGCTCATCCTAAGTGTGACTATGTGTGGTGAAATTAGGTTTCCCCGTAACTCGCTAGCGTACCGTGCAGCCAGCAAGAGCGAGCGTGGAGAGCACTTAAGCCTCATTAAAGTTCGTTCGTTCGTTCGTTCTTGGGAATTCCGACCGGCCAGCCGTTCGCTTCATCACACTTTCATCCCGCCGTGCAATTAAGACAAACGATAATTCCTGCTCGTCTCTCGCGTGGAATATTTTTGCGCATTACGTTCTGCACGGCGCGCATTGTGAGCGTGTTGTTTGTATCGCGCAAGAATGTAAGCCACTCTGTTACGCGATGATTGCGTGAGGAAAAGCGAGACGTAGCACAAGGAGAGGGTATACGTAAGACGAAAGCATGGACTGACGGTGGGGTAATGCTGTTTCGATGCTGCGAGCTCGGTGGAGCGACTTCCGGTACCCCTAACGAGGACTCCTCGGAGTCCGCTGGACTGGTGGCGACCGTAGCTAGCTTGCCCCCCGTCCCGTCCAGCAACTTGCGGTGACCTCCGCCAATACCCCTGCAAGGATTCACAAAGCCATCCAAACTGGAAGCATAGCTGCCGCGTTTGCCACATTTTCCCTGTTATATATTTTTCGATTTGCGCACATATAGGCAATCGACCCTTAACTTGAACGGTCTCGACATGGATGACGCGACAAAATTGTAGACTCCAATCGTAAACTACGCTGCGTTTTACGTTTATTTCCGTGATGTGTCAGGAAATTCGAACAATAATTTCAAATTAAAACATAATTATAGCAACAAGTTGGAAATTTATATCATTATTTTTCTATTACCTCTGCTTAAAATTTACACTTTTGTTGTCCCTGCTGACATTTCGCGAAATAGCCACAACGAAAAAAAGATAAGGTTTGTCTTCACCGTAATAGTTAAGGGTCTACTTGAACGAGTCTCGTACATCGCCGTGATAGTTTGCATCTGCGGATATGTGATATAGATGGAGATAATGAGACAATAAGCCGATATTTTAAAGATCACCACACAGCAATTTTTCGACAGATTATGGAGAATGAAAGAGAGAACGTTCGTATCGGCACATCTGGACAGCCATTAACGACATATATTTCTTCGATCCAACATTATCGAGCAAGTCAAATATGATTACATGATGCACCGTTAACATCTGTGTGGTAGATTTAAGTGAATCAATGACACGCAAGCGAGCATTTAACGGGCCTGTGATTCGCAATTTTCGCTATTGGGGATTACAATTGTTTATTTCGTCTCAAGCATCGTTCTACTCCCAAAGAACAAGAAATAAAAAAATGTCAAACCAAAATTAACAAAACACCAAAGAAACAAGTGATACAAACGAGAGTGATGAATTAGATAGTAGACAAGCGTAGAAGGTTGATAATTTGAATGAAAAGTAATTATAGCTTAAAATCAAACGATAAGTCGAGATGTACTTTAGGTTTTAGAAAACGAGCTGCACACACGGAAGAGAATCGCCGCTATCGTTATCGCTTCTTCGAGCATTCGCTGGCTCGTCACGATAGAAACAGCAATTACGCAGTTCGGACATACAATCGCTGCTAACGATTTGTAAGTGAGATGACCTCACCTTCGAATAATGACAATTTGATGCGAGGATAAAACGTAACGTACCTCCTGCTGTAATCAAGATTGCGTCATAATATAAACGTTCGCGAGAAATATCTCCTCTTTGGACAATCGATACGCGCGATCGGGAAGATCTTAACAGTTCGAGATGGAGCGACGCGTAATAAAATCGTCTCGACGGTTGTAAAATGGAAAGATACATGGGAAGACAAAGACGTCGTAGAAGGAAGAAGGGATGGAAGGACAGAGAGAGAGAGAGAGAGAGAGAGAGAAAGCGAGGTTCCTCGAGATCTCTCGCGGAGTATCGCGAAATTGAAAACTCGCTGACAAGTGAAACCTACCTGAGGGTCTGGGCTGTCGTCGCGGAACGTAGTGAGGCTCTTTGATTGTCGGGCCTATGGAGAGGATCGGGAGAAGACACGGCTCTGGCCTGATCGATCAGTCGCAAGACCGGGCTCGTTTTACTCTTTTCAATACAGTCGCAGGTCTTGGACATGCCACGCCAACCCGCGTGACTGATTCGCGACTTCGCGGTCGGACCGATCGAGACGTTATCCTCGTGCTCGTTTGTCGCGTTACGTTCGTTACGCGCCTCGTTTCTCTCGTAATTCTTGCGCGCGTGTCGCGGCACGTCGGGTACTCTGAAGACTCCGGGTGCCACCAAGGTGGCGACGAGCTCGTCGTTGGCGTGATCGCGACAATCGCTCGGCCGTGAAACATCGCTCGAGAAACCGTTCCGAGCGCAGAGCGGCTGCTGCTGCTGCTGCTGCTGCTGCTGCTTCCCGACCGAGTGGACGTTCTCCGCAATGTCGCTCGTCGTCGAGTCTTGCGCGTTGCTCGGACGACAACGCGAGGAGAGCGGGCTCGACGTCGACCAGAACCGAGTTCTGGTGATCATGTGCGACAGGGAGGACGGGTGTGGCGATAGGGGCTCGACAGAGGTGTCGGATTGACAGGCAAACGGTTGTGCGGGTGGATTCTGGTAGGAGTTCGGGATTCGTGGTGCCCATACCGGCCAGGAAGGTGACCTATAAAGATCACAACACAAATGTACAAGCATGCAAAAATCATAAACTCATATATAGAAAGATAGAATATAAAGTAGAGGGAGACGTACGTAAAGTAGTAAAAAAAAGATAGAGAGTCCAGAGTCTCGTAGTTACAGTCGAGGGATTGAGAATGAAGAGATCGCTTGAGGCTGGAGCAGAAACAAAAGGTTTTCTCGCGTTATTCATTCGCTCTCTCATTAGTGTGACTCCTTGGAGCACAAGTTCTTAAAACAACGATATCGCTAGATACATAATTCGACGTGTTAATTCAAGAATGAAATGAGTTAGTCGTCGAAGGATACACACGAGTTCGTCAACAAGCAAATCTTCTAGATTGTACTAATGGTACGATTCAAAAAAGATGGAATATCTTTCCCTCGCGTTGAGACAAAGATAACGAATAATCGTGATAATATTCGAAGCAAGATGTAGCGTGATATGATATTTCGTTAATAAAGCCAAATGTCTTGTGTGCATAAAAGTCCAAGAGAAGAGTTAGTTGTGTAACAACAAAAATTACGGACAGGATATATCTATCGTCAGACAGTAGTATGTACGCTTGTTGCAATCAACAATCGCGTCCCTTTGTGTAACTTTCCGCTTCTTAACTCATGCTCGCTGCTGTTATCATAAAAGTATACTAAAGGTATATTAGTATTATTATTTAAAGCTATATATATATATATATATATATATATATATATATATTGGAAAGTATGTGGCGTACCGTGCGCGTGTGGAGTATCGCGACAGAAGTATTAAAGTGTTGGCTCGACATTAGATACGAAAAGCAACGCAAACTCTCAAGTCGTCTTTGTTAAAATGAAGAGGACTCTGGACATCCTCGATGTAAAATTATGAATCCTCGCGGTGCAAATTATCCTGAGTAGTCGCTAGTTTGCAGATGCGTAGCAAGTAGCGCGAAAGATCTCGAGACCGTTCGCAGATGCACGTGTTGTCGCATCCAGGTGTGCGACATGCCTTACCTAATGTGACCACTGTCACCGCTACTGCTCTGTCTGCTGTGCTGGCTGTGTGAATTGAGAGAACCGTAGCCGGATCCCTTGCTAAGTTGACTCGTATTACTGCTATTGCGCGAATGTCCCGACTCCGTGTGCGCTTCCACCAGAGCCTCTACCGGAACTGCCGACGGCACGATCTCGCTGAGGGTCATTGGATCGTACGTCTCCGTTCCACTAAGAAGTTCTGCATCATATACAATCGTTTTTATTATTTTTACCCTGCAAAGTTGGAAGAGTTTTCTCTCCGCGACTCAAATCCACTATTGGTTTTTTTTTTACTTTATTTATATGTACGATTTTGTATTCATAATTATAGAAAATGCTAAGCTGAAGGTGTTTACCGGAGGTGAAGAGTGCGGGTCTCTTTTTGGGAAGACTACCGAAACCGCTGCTGGCGCTGGCTATACTTCCTGCTAGCGAACCGGTAGACACGTAATCCTCACGGTTACTGCATCTCTCAGATGTCGTCACCTCGTCGCCGGTGACGCCAGGTACACCCTGTACACCAGGCACTGCCAGTTGCGTTTGCTTCAACGACGGCGAAGGGCTGAAGAGATAATTGATCCATTAATCAAGAGGAATCCGTATCTTATGAGGTGGTAGAGTCCTTCGATATAAAAATGTACGTCTCTACTAATGGGGGAATAATACAAGCGCAGAAACGTGCAGAAAAAAAAATATAGAAACAAAAAATATGTTGAAAAGAAAATTCTTACACAATAAGCAGTTTTGTTTCAACATTACTTTTATTATATGGAATTAATTTTTTTTATACACACTATGAATAAAGAATTACTTTTCTCGCTCACGATAAAAAAAAATAAAATTCAACGGGGTGTAACTTTGTGGAATAAATAAAGATAACGAGATAGTCCAGCGAGCACTTTACAAATTAAAATTTCTAGTTTTTATGTATATAACGTTGAATATAACGTTTAGCTGATTTTTACTATAGTACATAAATACGGATTCACTAAATATCAAATTTTTTAACAAAGTTTGTCGAGTTGCAACGTTTAAATGAAAAATTACAAACAAATACGGGTTTATACTTGAAAGGGTGAATTCACAAGTAGATTGTGGTGTTTTTTTTTTCACGGAATTGTTTAATATTGAAGCAAACTTCAAATGTTGAAGTGCATTGAAACATATGCAGAATTCAACAGGCTATAATTTCCGCAAAAATTACGATAGAGAAGTGATTCTAAAAGCGTTTCAAAGCTTAAAGTTTCTACTTTTCAAACATGCTAAATTTATAAAGAGCCTAGAATGTCGATCGTTTTTTACGGCACTTTGAATTTAATTACTTACATAGTGGATGAAGGAAACAACGTACAATGTTCGCCAAGCAACGAAAAAAAAAACTTAAACTTCTTTTTCTAAGGTGCATTTATAGAGTTTTCAAACAATTTTTTACAACAGTGTAGAAATTTAACTGAAAAATGAAGTTGAATTTGTGCACTTTTTATTTAACTCAATGTGTCTTGCCGATAAACGATATTAATGTTATACATTTAATATGCTTAAAAATAGAAACTTTAAGCTTTGAAATGCTTTTCGAACCACTTCCTTATCGTTATTTTTGCGGAAATTATAACCTGTTAAATTTTGCATATGTTCAGTACAAGGGAAAAATATATTTGACCCATTCTTAAGTCTATCGCTACCTCAATTGCTCGATGTGAACGGTGACGGCTCGTAGCGGGAACTTCGAAACTATCTAATAACGGGTCTAATGAAAGGTCTATACATTCTCGACCCTTTATTTGCTATTGAGAATAAAGGGTCTAAATCAGGATTGTAGTACGATCATTAGACCCGTTATTTTTACAAGTTAGTTCCAAAGTCTCCGTTACGAGCCGCCACCGTACACATCAACCAATCAAAGTAGTGATAGACACTTAACTCTAATAAATTTTTTCCTTTATATTCAAATATATGCAGAATTCAATGGGCTATAATTTCTGTAAAAATGATGATAGAGAAATGATAATAGAGAAGTGGTTCGATAAGGGTTTCAAAGCTTGAAGCTTCTATTTTTCAGGCATATTAAATTTATAATGTTAATATCGTTTATGGGCAAGACACATCGAGTTAAGTAAAAAATGGCGACTATACAAATTTAACTTAATTTTTCTCGGTAAAGTTTCCATACTGTGAGAAAATTGTTATTAAAAATTTGATAAATGCACCTTGAAAATACAAGTTTAAGCTTTTTTTCATTGCTTGACGAATATTGTTTCCTTCGCCCACTGTGAATAATTAAAATCAAAGCGCCATTTTTGTTTCAACATTAAACAAGTCCGTGAAAAAGAACAATCTATATGTGCGCAAAATAAAGAAGAAAATTCACCCTTTCAAGCCGTATAAATTCCATTTGTCTGTGATTTTTCATTTAAGCGTTACAACTCAACAAATTTTTTTAAAAATTTTAACATTTCATTTTATATTTATATAATATAGTACAAATCAACTAAATGTTATATTCAATAATATTTGTAAAAACTAGAAACTTTAATTTGTAAAATGGACCATCTCGTTATTTTTATTTATTCCAAAGTTATAGCCCGTTGAATTTTATTTTTTCATCGTGAACGAGAAAAGTAGTCCTTTAATTGTTGATCGTAATGTATTTTAGAGGTATGTGTCATATATATTTAAAAAATTTGAATATATATATATATATATATATATGTTTCTGACATTTTGTATATGCGTATAGAATGTGATGGAAAGAAATGTTATTCTAAAAAACTTGAAATCTTGTGAATCAGACTCGTGAGTCGATAGAATCAAAAGTTAATATCAAAGTAACAAAAAATATCGCTGACACTGTGTAATTGAGTATGTAAAAGAATTGCAACTGTAGCGTCGTTTTATAGATAAATAAATAAGTCTTACACTTTAAACAGGATATCTCCGGAAAGCATGTTCATCTTGATAGCTACGCGTAACATAGAGTTATCTTGACGATGTCTCGCATCGTAGCCTTCCAAGAGACACCTTCTTCGACAAAGGCCAGCTCCTGCGAATTCGGCCAAATTGAGATCGGTGAAACCTAGTTTCTGGAAGGATCTGCCTCCTTTCAATTCCTAATATAAAAAATTTATAAGTTAACGTTTACAGTTGATTATTCGTGTAGAAATGCATTTATATTCTACCGTTCAAATTCCACCGAACTTAAAGGATCGATGGAGAATCTTAAGGTAAAGCTATTATCCTTTGACGCTTTAAATAGTTATTACTGTCGTATTTTACAAAACGGATATTCGAATACTTTTTCATCATTACGCCTCGAGCCGGTGAACAACACATGTCGCGACGCAAAGCACGTGCATCGGTGTGTGAGTTGTGATTAGAATTCTCAACGATCCTTCAAATATTTAATCGAGTCGCACTGCGCTAATTAACAAGCGTTTTTCTAATTGAATTGTGTCTATGTATATATATATATATATATATATATATATATATATATATATATATATATATAT